CCATGCTTTTGTAAAAATAAAGGAAAAAGAGAAGAGAGTAGTGTTAGAGTGAGGGTAAAGATGCGTTAGCCAGAATGGAAGGCTTTCTCGTTGCCATCGGAAAGACTAAAGAAAATTGAAAGCAGAGAAGCTCGCTCACAGGATTCCTCCCAAACCACACCCCACACCAGGGGAGCAGCCTTCGGTTACCTCGGGACAAAGAGGCAACATGGCATAATGTGACGATCCTGGACAGGCAGCTGGAGACCCAGGCTCTACCCGAACTCTGTGGGAACGTGGACACGCCCTTTCCATGCTCTCGGCCTGTAGGATTGCGAAGGTCACTCCTAACTCTGCCTCCTGCACGAGAGCAGGAAATACCATAGGCTTCTTCAGGCCTGTTCTGGGGTCTGCTGCTTTCACCTTCGAGAAGAACGGCATTGACTTGGACAGGGCTGTCTGACTGCCACACGCTCTAAGTCAGGGGAAGACAGAGGAGGTCTGCTCCCTTCCCCTGAGGAGCACACTGTCTGCAAGCCCAGAGCAGAGCCCTAGGGCCCCGGGGAGTGAGTCAGGGGAGGCCCTGGCTTCTCTGCTTGGAGAAGCTGGGAAGAGCTTGGAAGAGGAATAGCAACTTCAAATGAGCTGGACAATGAAGGATGCAGTGTGCACTGAAGGAATTGACAGCTGGGGAAGAGGAAGGGCATTTCAGGCAGAGGGAAAAGAATATTTTAGGCTAGGAGGGGGGTGCTCTCCAGTCACACCCTGAAACTGACTTGTGCTGGACCATAGGAGCCACCGTTAAATTTTCAGGAATTTCGTGAGCTGGTTATTCAACACAGTTGTTACGGTGAGAGCCATGGTGGGCAGCATTTACACCACAGAAATGGGCAGAAGCTAACAATCAAGACTGTTACCCCTTCTCCAGAAGTCAGTTTACCAGCACATCACTGATGTTCTCCTTCAAAAGAGCTTCGTGTTCCCTGAATGGTTTGTGCAGACAAAGCAATTCCCTTTTTATAAAGTTGCTCAGACTGGCAAGGGCGAGGAAGCTTCTAAGAAATGCCTAACACTGTCCATTCCAAGACCATAACTTTCTGCTGTACTCCCTGCAGGGCTCCGAGATGTTTTTGGAGAACCGCCAATTCTGTAACATCAAGGTGAGAGGCTGCAGGGGGTGGACATGAGCAAGAACTCCTGCCCCAACCAAAGGAAGTGAAGTCTTTGCCTTTAAGGAGGGGCTACTGTGGTTCGGGGTGCGGAGGCTCCTCAAATCCCCATGGGCTGACATCCAGGTATCTGGGTCTTGTAACCACAGCCCTCCCCCTGCTCTTTATATCCAAGGGTATAACGCCTCATCCTTGGCCTGTCTCTTCTCCAGGAGCAGAGATGGGTGTGCAGTGTACAGAGCTACACACTCTCTGTCCCTGTCTCCCGGGCACCCCACGGCGCACACCCAGTGGTGGCAGACACAACACCCCAGGGATGCGGATTGGGTCCTTGTTTACACCAGCTCTGCATTCTAACACCTAGAGCTCTCCCCAGGCTGGTGCTGAGAGCACAGCATGTGGGAAGAGCACTGGAGTGGGAGCCACTTAGACCTGGCTTCCAGCCCAGGAGATGTCTTTCTATGTATAAAGGGGGTCCTGAAGCCCTGGGGACATCTCCTGATAGCAGGGAAGACCAGTGTCGCCCCCCATCTCTCTTCTCTGATGTCCTCTTGTGCACAGTGCTATATCGATGGGCCTTACGGGACACCCACACACCGGATCTTCGCCTCTGAGCACGCCCTGCTCATGGGGCAGGCATCGGCATCACCCCTTTGCTTCCATCCTGCAGAGTACCATGTACAGGTGCGCAAACAGGCTGCTGCTTCCTGCGTCCCGGATCAGAGCCCCAAGGCACCCTCTCCACCCCTACTGCCTTTATGCCTTCTCCTTCCTCTGCTCTCCTGTCTCCCACTGCTCACCTGTCTCCCTCTGCTCACCTGTCTCCCTCTGCTCACCTGTCTCCCTCTGCTCACCTGTCTCCCACTGCTCACCTGTCTCCCTCTGCTCACCTGTCTCCCTCTGCTCACCTGTCTCCCTCTGCTCTTCTGTCTCCCTCTGCTCACCTGTCTCCCTCTGCTCACCTGTCTCCCTCTGC